AGCCAAATCGCTCGCTCACAATTTTAGTGCTGGTAGCTCACAAGGTAGAATTTTTGCTCACGAGATTCCACAGCATAGAGGGAACATAAGAACATAAGAGACGCCAATGTTGCATCAGGCCAAAGGCCCATCCAGTTCAACAATCTGTGTCACACAGTGGCCAGAAATACCAGGGGCCATCAGGAGGTCCACCAGTGAAGCCAGGACACCAGAAGCCCTCCCACTGTTGCCCCCCCCAAGCACCAAGAATACAGAGCATCAGTTGCCCCAACCTGAGAGTTCCTATCTATACCTTGTGGCTCATAGCCGCTGATGGACCTCTGCTCCATATGCTTATCTAATTCCCTCTTGAAGCCCTCCCTGCTTGTAGCCGCCACCACCTCCCTGTGGCAGTGAATTCCACGTGTGAATCAGTCTTTGGGTGAAGGAGTACTTCCTTTTATCCGTTCTAACCCGACCGCTCAGCAATTTCACGGAGTGCCCACGAGCTCTTGTATTGTGAGAAAGGGAGAAAAGTACCTCTTTCTCTACCTGCTCTTTCCCATGCATAATCTTATAAACCTCAATCATGTCACCCCTCAGTCGTCGTTTCTCCAAGCTAAAGAGCCCCAAGCGCCTTAACCTTTCCTCATAGGGAAAGTGTTGGTCACCCACGCTGAGGACCCCTGCTGTAAGGGAAAGGAACCATCTCCCCCTCTTACCAACAACACCCTCACAGCCATCATGGCGGCCGCCCCCGTGGAGACGGTGCAGTCCATCAGGATCACGTGATCTTCGCTGATGTCCTTCGGGAGCCTCAGGTAATGCAGCTGGACGAGAAAGAGGAGAGAGCTTGCAAAATGGCTCGCAGGGAAGCGTCCTGCCAATCGGCTCATTCCCGGCATAAAAGTTAACCTGCGGAACTCGCTGCCACTGGGTGATGACCAGCGTCACATGGGTTCCAAGATGTTTTTTGGGGGGGGAAACAGGTATATAAATGTTCTAAATAAGTGAGTTAGCAATTGCACGAATAACATTAGCCCAATACTGGAAAAACAAAAATCATCCTACTCTTCAGTGTTGGCAAAACAAAATCTGGGAACACTTTGTATATGATAAAATTGTCTCTCACCAAAAAGATTTTCAAGCAACTTGGCTCCCAGCAGTGGAATATCTCGCAGAGGAAGAAGTGATTCCAAACAACGCTTATTACAAAGATCTGTTATATTTTTAAAAGGCTCTTACGGGTTGAGAATGTTGATTATTGCATGGTATTAATATGTGTTCTGAATGTACTGTTGTATATATGGTTTAAGATAATAAACACTTATTTGAAAAATAAATAAATAAATAAATGAGTAAACATATATTTTTTAATTTACTTCTTGTCTTTTCCCCCCAGTGGGGACATGAAGCAGATGAACATCACTCTCCTCTCCTTCGTTTTCTGCTCACAACAAACCTGTGAGGTAGGCTAGGCTGAAAGAGCGTGACTGGCCCAAGATCGCCCAGCATACTTCCATGACATGAGTGGGGATTCAAACCTGGGTCTCCCGGATAATAGTCTGACACTCTTAACTACTAACACCACACAGGGTCTCAGAAGACAAAAAAAAAAAAAGGAGTCCTGGACTAGATTCCTGGTCCTGACAGCCAGGGCCTTTGATTTGGATGAAAAAGATGATTAGGTGGGCAAGACTAAGAAGAAGAGATTGGATTTACACCCTGCCCTTCGCTACCTGAAGGAGTCTCAGAGTGGCTGACGATCTCCTTCCCCTTCCCCTCCCCACAACAGACCCCCAGTGAGGTAGGTGGGGCTGAGAGAGCTCTCTCAAGAACTGCCCTTGAGAGAACAGCTCTGAGAGAACTTGTGACTGACCCAAGGTCACAGTAGCAGCTGCATGTGGAGGAGTGGGGAATCGAACCCAGTTCTCCCAGATTAGAATCCGCACTCCTAACTACTACACCAAACTGGCAAGACCCATTAAGTGATATTTCTTAAATCTACTGATATTATCGCTCTCCTCCCGCTATCGGGAAATATCGGGAAATGAGGCTTTAACTGCTTGGTGATATTGCCCCTCTTAAGGATCATTGCAGCAGACCCAGAAAGGGGGGAAAGTGTCTGCCCCGCTAGCCTGTGCCATGTACCTCTGGCTCTCCTGTGTAACGGTTTGTCTGGATGAGGATGGTACCGATCCGGACGTCCTTGCAGACAGCTCGCAGGGCGGGCTCCATGGTTTCTCCGGCCCTCAAGATGGACACGCCCGTAATCTAGAAGAGAAAACACACAACTGAGAGCCCACGTCTGGACTCATCCGGCCTTCTGCTCCCATCCCATCATTCTCAAGCCTTAGAACAGGGCTTACGAACATTCAATCTGCCCGATCACCTAGGGTGAGTAAAGGCCGTTTCCAGGCAACCAGGTAGGGCAGAACGGGAATGGTAAAATGCGAGACGTGCACAACAGCAACCAGAGGGCTGATATAGGCCGGTTTTATAACATTTTTCATTGGCTGAGTTGTGAGTTTCGGATTTCTTCTTTGCTTTATCGTTATATGTGTTTATAGGTTTTCACTGAATTATATATGTGGTGTTTTAAGGTTGAAATATTTTAATACTTTGATGTTCCCCGCCTTGGGGGGGGGGGATCCCATTTCGGTGGAAACGCAGCATTTGGTGTAGTGGTTAAGTGAGCGGACTCTAATCTGGGAGAACCGGGTTTGATTCAAATAGTATACGCTTATTGTCTTAGCCATAGGCCATAACACAATACATCAGGTCATAAAATGGTCATGTAGACAGTAGAAAAATATCAGTATACTCCTACACTACTTCTACTTTCCGTTAAATACTAAACTCATTCTGATTTGATTCCCCACTCCTCCACTTGCAGCCGCTGGATGACCTTGGGCAAGGCATAGTTCTGAAAAGACCTGTTCTTGAACAAGAGCAGTCTCTGTCAAGAGCTTTCTCAGCCCTACCTACCTCACAGGGTGTCTGTTGTGGGGAGGGGAAGGGAAAGGAGTTTGTAAGCCGCTCTGAGACTCCTTCAGGTAGTGAAGGGCAGGGTATAAATCCAATCTCTTCTCTTCTTTTTCTTCTATAAATGTTTTCAATAAATAAATACTAAGTGCTCTGAATGATCAGAGTGTCTCAGATCTGGGAGCTTCCACTGCAGAAACTTTGGTGAGACAAAAATTACTGTGCCTGAAAGTGTAACCATGCAAGAATTTATGCTGCTGGTCTGTGCCTCTGAATGGTTAATGTGGAGCACAAATGTAAGAGATAAGAACAACAGAAGAGCCCTGCTGGCTCAGACCAGTGGTCCATCTAGTCCAGCGTTTTGTCTCACACAGTGGCCAGCCAGTTCCTCTGGATGGCCAACAACAGGGCAGAGAGGCCGAGGCCTTCATAAGGACATCAGAAGAGCCCTGCTGGCTCAGACCAGTGGTCCATCTAGTCCAGCGTTTTGTCTCACACGCTGGCCAACCTGTTCCTCTGGAGGGCCAACAACAGGGCATAGAGGACAAGGCCCTGATACGAACA